CTGTCGGTTATTATCTGTCATAAAAATTAATAATTTTTCATTTAAACTTATTTCTTGTAAAATGCCTTACATTTTATATATTCATGTAATATATCGCGTAAAAATAGAATATATTTTCCATATTCTTAAACTTTCATAAACTAATGCATTTCTCTGTCGATAAATAATACTCTTCAAATCTCATATTTTCTCGGACTTAGGATTTCCTATAAGGAATCTCATTGTATAGCAAGCTTTATTAAACGAAAGTAGTTTTGAGAAATAAAGAAGTCTCTCAATTAATTTCTTTCTAAATTCATTTTTTTTTAATTTGTAGGTACAGTATAAAGAAACTAAAAATAAAAGAAAAAATATATATGTAGGTTAATATGAATAAATAAATTTATTTTTGAGCTTTCGAGATGTATATTTTAGATTTATCATATGTTAAAATGTTTTTATTTTTGACTAAATAATATGATTAATATTATATTGATATATTATCTAATTAAAGTTGTTTCTTATTTATAACGTCAACAAGATCTTTTTGACAGAAAAATTATTTCATGAAAAAATCAAATCCCGGAGGAAAAAACTGAAATTTTTTAACGTCTCACTTTCAGTAGAAAATGAATACAAAAATAATTATATATTACATTGATATAAAAATATCAGTTTGTTTTCTCAGTTATTTTCTTAATGATGATAGTATTAGGTTAACTTCAAAAAATTTGTGTTTTTTTATTTGTTTGCTTAATACTACGTTAATTCTATGGTATATAAAAACTTATATACAGTAAATAAATAAAATTTTTTAAAAATTTCGTTTTCTGCTTTTGTTATTAACGATATAGTAGAATGAAGAATTGTAAACAGTTATGATTTCTTCGGCAAGAAAGTTTACTTGATTAAAATAATAAATGTAATGATAAAAACAATACTTATTAACATTTCAATATGTTACACTTAGGATCGTGCAAATAAGAATGCACTGGACCAATGTCTCAATCTATAGATTTGTAAAATAAAATTTTAGAATAAAATTTAATTTTGTTTTACACAGAATAAAATTTATTGTTGCACCATGCAACCATTAATTAAAAATAAATTTATATATACAGTATACACAATTAATGTATTTATTTAGTTTTCTTGTTTCTACATTGACAAAGATACTCTTTTCTTCTTCATGAACATCTAGTAATGTCATATTACTTGTTAGTAGATAGCCATTCAATTGTTAACTAGGGCTGCACAAAACCAAAATTTTGATATCGTGATTTCTTAGATATATTGAACATTGATATCGTAGACATATATCGGTTATTGGAACAGTATTACTGTTAACTGAATGTCATACTTTACACCAGTTAAAAATGAAAAAATATATATTATTAATATATATTTGCAGCGCTATCTGTTTACCATTTGATTGAAATTTCAGTTTAAAGAATTATCGCCCATCTTTTATTTTCAAAGATATGTTATTTTTATATTTCTATTTAATTAATTACGGAAGACAAACGTTTCTTTTAATCCTTGAATTGTATTTAAATATGGTTTGATATTTTCAATAAACACTTGTTTAGTTGTCCTGATGCTTATGTGGCCATGGCTTTCTAAGACCTTCGCGTGACCCTGCAAATTACACTATACAAAACAAAAATAAAACAATATAGAAACAAAAATTATTCAATTTGTTTACAACAGAACGCCAGCCAGATATTTAACATATAACTTTTTTTCTTGCTGTTTCTTCCTATAGGCCGGATGGCCGAGACGATTAAGATTAACTTGCCGCTTTGGATGTTCAATATCGAATCCGGCAAAAGTGTGCTCATTCGAGATAGTGGATACCCAGAAATCTGTTTAACATATAGATAGAAAGCTCGTATTTAAACTACAACATACACACGATTTAAATCACAAAATAAAGGAAAAAAACTTAAATAAGAAACAATTACTTCTACTTTATTTGTTCGATACTAAACGCGTAACTTGTCTATTATCATTTTGTTTGAGTTTGTTGTACACGGCGATTCAACACATGGCAATCTGCCGAAGGGGAATAACTTCCGGGAGGTCTTTATATGGCAAACTGGTCCCTAGTTAGGTGTTACAATGGTCAAAACACAGAAAACTTCAGTGCCAGCCTGTTGGCGAGGCGTGGACTCACGACCAATTACTAGTGTTCAGTGATTTTATCCACTTGGCCACTGGTGTGTCTTTTATTTACTAATTAAAACATTAATATTTACTAATTAAAACAAACAAATCGACGGTCTGATAGCTGAGCAGCTAAAGCGGCAGCCTTCCGCTTTATGTGACCCAAGATCGAATACTGACGGATCGAAAAACCCCGGGAATTTTTTGGAGGATGCCCTGTCCGGCTATTTTGGGTCCCATCTTCACCACCCAAATGCCTCACTATGGTCCTGGCCGAACAAAATCAGCGTTTTTATTTTATTCTCAAATCTTAGAAATACTGTATAATAAATTTTTATTGGATAAGAGAGTGCAAGAGAATCACATACGTGAAGTAAAATGAATTGAGCATATTCGTGATTCGGATCTGAATCATCAGAACGACGTCATATTTTTCTTTTTTTGTCATTTTTAACGTAATTAGAGTTTTTAGGAAATATGCATTATTTGGTTTAATTCAGGCTTACTCTTATTTTTTTATATCATACTATTGTTATAGCAACAGTATACCCCATACTTGGCATGTAAATTAGTTTAAAAATAACAATAATAATGACTTTCCTTTTAATTCTATACGAGAAATTTACAAAACATTAAGTACAGATATTTATATTTCAATTTTTGAATAATTCAAAAGACAAATATTTAAGTAATATAAAGTACTGTAATACATAACAAATGATCTTTCCACTTATATAAGAATAGAATGAGACTTGCTCGATATATTAGCGAGGTTGAGGCAGAAGTTTTAAACGCGAAAACATGTACATCGGGCGTTCACCGCCGCTTTCCTGTAAGCCTACAAGTTTGACAATAATGTTTGGAATGTCGAGCATGATTCCACTGACTTGAGTACTTGAGTCCAAAAGAGAAAAGACTGTCTTATGACTTAGCCCTTGGAAGTTGGAAGTTGAAGAGGGGGTAGGGAGGACAGGAAGTTGTGGTTTGAAAGGAAAGTGAAAGCATAGAAGGTGAGTGTGAAGGGTGGGATCTCATTGTTACATCGCACTTATTTTAGACAAAACATTGATATTTACAGGGACCAATTTGGTCTGATGAGACATGACGATACAGAGGATACAATTGGGATACATAATCACAATACCGCAGATAGAAGGTAACATACCCTCGCTAGAGGTAACATAACACAGGTTTTGTATAATCCAAGGTACATAGATAAAGTATTATATATAATCCTAAGTACATAGACAAGGTTTTGTAGATGAAGAGGACGACACCGCGTTACAGTAGGGTAATACTTCATAAGTTAAAGTCCGATGCGCCTATTTACACATTGCAGGCTGAGAGGACAACCTAGTACAACAGTAGGGTCGCCCTGCGTAGAGGAGTGGTGGCCGGTTACTGCGAGCCTCCATACAGGTCCGGTCGCTGGAATGATCGAAGATCCCGCACTCGGTGATAAATTTTTCAAGCAGCGAATAGTTCGATTCCACTGACTACCAAATACCATTGTCCAACTTTTAGGGTTACAGGAAAGCGGCGCGGAACGTCCGACGTACACGTTTTCGCGTTTAAAACTTCGGCCTCAACCTCGCTATTATTGCAAAGACGTCAAAAGCCGAACATCAGCTGAAATTTCCGAACTCAAAACTGCACGGAGAGCACACCGTGATTCGGATAGGTCGAAAAATCCCAATAACTTTTTTATGGATATCTAGCCCGTACATTACTCCGTTTGTCCTATTATGGGTCTGGCCGATTCCACGATGAGCTTATTTATAAGACTGTGTATAGAAACTGATACTTAACTATACTTAAAGATTAAACATCGAACAATTGAAGCGCCTACCAGAAAAATATTATTTCGAGATACTGTCGCGTTACCCTACTTGGTCTTGAGAACAAATAAACAAGTAAATAAAACACTAGATATTAATTAATTTAAGTACTCTGGTTAAATTCTATCTTCATCAAGAGATAGTGTCTAGCTACTTGGAAAGAACGACAAAAGAGAGGTTGTGGTCGACGTTTTCATCGCGAAAACGTGTACGTCGTACGTTCAGCGACACCTTCCTGTAAGCCTAAAAGTTTGACAATGGCGTTTGGACCGTCAGTGGAATCATGCTCGACGTATCAAACGCCATTGTCAAACTTCTAGGCTTACAGGAAGGTGGCGCTGAACGTACGACGTACACGTTTTCGCGATGAAAACGTCGACCGCAACCTCTCTAAAGATAAAAATAAATTTTATTTTTATAAATAGAAGTGTATGTGCAGCCGAATATTCAGTATGTAAAAACAAAACATATTTTTACTGTATATGCTATTAAAGCCAGATTTATGGAAGACGTCAGAATTCATACTAAGATCGATATTGTATCTTCCTTTTTTATCTCCAGTTGCACAATCTTAGTATATAAAGCTATTAATAAAAAATTATGCCGTCTATTTTAAATTTAACAATATTTTTGTTTTTATTTTTTCTACCCTGTGGATACTAAGAGTACCTTTTTTCAGGCTCATTATGGGTTCAGTCATGCCTACAATGAGGCGGTCTAATGATGAGGGATGGGGACCGCCCTCATCATTTGACCGCCTCCCGAAAAATTCCTGGAGGATTTTTCGACTCGTCCGGATTCTATTCCGGGTCTCCCAGAGCGGTATGCTGCCACCTTGACCGCTCGGCCATCCGGCCGTCAATGAAAAACACTAAACATACTAACTACTATAATTATTTTTCATAATACTTATGAAAATAATTTTAAAGTTTTATATAAAGATTTATAGTTAATTTAAAACCATTTAAAAAAATTATTGAAATTTATGTTTTAATTCGGTGACGTAAGCACAAATTCTAGAAAGTGAGTAAGACGTCATCGTGACTATGATCGTTAGTGCCAAGCACAGATCCGCCTCTTTAAAATTCAAGTTGAACGTGTTTAGAATGGAACATTTCTGAAGTAAGTTTAATCTTTCAAAATAATACTAAATGCTTTCTTTGCGTTTATACATAACATTGTTTAATATAGTTTGTTTGCATTGCAATGGTAAAATATAATTATCAATATTACAACATAAACTGTAAAAAAACTTTTATAGAACTTTAATCATATATGAAAGTAAAACTGGATTTACATTGAATTTTATATTCTAACATCTTTGAATAATAATTTACTTTGATCTGAGATTGCTATTTATATATACACAACGTGGGTATGCATCTTAAAAGACTAAATAAATCTAACTTTAATTTGACATTTCAAAAAATTCATCTGATATGATTTTAAATTAGTGAATAAATCTATGAAATTAATGATAAGTTACATAAATATTTCAATGTCATTTCCTGTAATGTATGATTTTGACATTAAGTTCTATTTAATCAATATAGTTTATATGATTTTGTTTTTAAGTTAATAAACTCAACATACAACTAAAGTAATAATTTCATTTACAAAAAGTAAAAATTATAACTTTAGACAGAATCTGACAAATGTGTGCCTATTATTATATTTATTTTAAAATCTGTTTATTTTATATCTTATGCATTTTTTTGCATCAATTTACATGTGGAGTGATGAGAACTGAAAGTATAAGAGTAATACAAAGTAAAACTCAAAAAGTTCAAACTTTGTATCTAAAAGTTTGTACTTTTAAATACTTGCTGTTTATGTAATAAAGGAATGTCTAAATAAAAAATGAGTAAATAAATTATGAAATTATTTTAATATTAAATAGCTGTCTGAGGTGCAGAGGAAGTAGTACATCTAGTTCTTATCAGGTCAACACAGTGCTATATTAGTACAAAATTAGTAAGTTAATTGGTTTAACAGTATAGCTTGAGTTCAGTTCGGTTACTATTTGCAGTGATTAGTATAAATTAATCATGTAAGAATTATAAATAAAAATAATAATCTAAAATTAGAAACAATTAAAAAGAAAATATGGGAATAGCTTTTTATACATTTCATAGAATATTTTACAAGACTTAACATTTGAGATTTAAATTCAAAATATATTTCAAAATAAATAATGATAAAAAATTTTATTCATTTAAAATATTTCTAATGAAACAGCTTTTAAGTAAATTTCTATAATCTTTCTTTATATATGCATTTGTGTGTGTAACACAAATACCACAAATACAATTTTTTATCTCGTTATATTACATTTCAGATTTCTTTTGATATCTAATTGAAATGTTAGCTTTTCAAGAGATTAAGTTATCATTTTCTATTTGACATAAAACTGAAAACTGTTCTAGAAATATTATATATAATTTTTACAATAGCCTAATTAATTAAGGGTGTCATTTGGTTTATAATTAATTTGAGCATAGTTAATTCTAAATAACATTTAAACAATAAGAAACTAAGCTTGTTTAAGATTATAGATATTTCTGTTAGTTTTCTTAGACTTTTTAGAAATTTGCTGAAACTTTTTATCTTAATTCTCAATCATTTATATATTCTACGCATATTCATAAAATAGAAAAGTTTATTAATTATTTAGATTTGTTTTTAATAGACATTTCAAATCAGATGAATTAATAAAATAACTATGAAATCAGATGAATATTTCTTAATTCAATAATCAGTTAAAGTCTAGATACATAGACTGTCATGGCGGCTCATCTCTGATTCCAGCAAACAGTGGGGACGCACGTTCTAACCTAACCTATTCTAATAATTTGATTGGTAATAATTATGGTAATTTGTTAGGTTAGGTTAGAACGTGCGTCCCCACTGTTTGCTGGAATCAGAGATGAGTTGCCATGACAGTCTACGTATCTGGACTTTAGCCCAATAATCATTACAATAAAATATATTGTCATTACTAAATCTTATTGTAATTAGAAAAATACTTGATAAATTGATTAATAAATATATTGTTGTTGTAATCAGTTGAAAAATTTATTCAGATATATCATGTTTAGTTTATTATTAATTTATTTTGATTATAATTGAAATTTAATTTATTAATAAATAAATAGAAAACCGAAATACAAAGAAAAAATTTGATTTAATTTAAAGTATTTGAATTAAATATTTTAATAAATAGAAAAGTTGTTTGTAACGTTATTATACTAAATTTACTTAGTATGAGAATTTGTTAAAGTTGCATATTAAAGAAAAAAAATTGAAATTGTTTTAGTAGGACTTAAATAATCTACAAAATCAGCACTTTTTTTCACAGAATAAAATGTTTTTTTTTTTTCCTGTTACTATACAAAAGTATTTTTTTATTCAGAGAAAATAATTTAATAATATGCAAGTTGTATAACTGAGTTTCTTTTATTATATTCTTTTTCATTGTAAAGTTTGCATTTGTTTATTATTAAATCATATATATTTGAAAAAGCACTATTTTTATAACTTTTTATTCTGTGAAATACTTATTTCATGGAAATTAAGGTCTTATAAATTATATAGCTTATGAATTATTCATTCTATTCATCTCGGCTTTTGAAAGTCATAAAATTATAATACAGCAAGTCATTTTTTTTAATTTACTTGATTTTTATATTATTGGCAGAAGTATAAGTAAAATACATTATATAAATTTATCAAGCATATTGTAATTGTATATTGTATATTAATTGTATATAATTTATCAAGCATATTCTATAAATTAAATTGATGTGGTATATCTAAAATTTTTAAAATTCTTTTTTTAAACTAACATCAATATGACATTAAAATTTTTATTAAATATTTTTTTAAGTACTATATTAATAATAAATATGGAGTAAATGCATCAATTTATTTACAATTAGTGTTGCTTAAATGTTAGAAATTTAAAAATCTATTACTACTATTATATGAGATTTGTTTCCAATGGGGGCATGCATGGTTTAGATCTTGTCACTGGTCAGCTTGATGTATACTTAACTTCTGGTAGTGTGTAAAATAGTGAAAACTAAGCAGAAGTTTTGATCAGCTTAAAAATTGAATTTAAAGCAGGGTTTTGAAATCGGGAGGAATTTCTGGTCAGAGAAGTTGGAATCAGGAAAAATATGTTGACTCTGACTCTGGCATTTCTATTTTTGTTTTCCACAGAAAAATTTTTTAAGTTTAATATTGGAAATTGACAAAATGCAGTTTCTTGGTATGAAGACTCTCAAGTAAATGAACTGGTGTCTCAGATAAATGAATAAGGATTCTTTAGTTATTTATTCATGTATTATATGTGTATAATTTGTGTGTATATTGGTACAAGTAACCAATCTAGATTGTAATTCTATATGTATGAGCCTGTGCACTAGACATCTAAGAAAATTTAAAGTTTAAAAAGTTCCAAACAAATGTCATTATAGAAATCTGAATCATTTGATTTTTCTGTTCCTAAGGATGGCCATTCAAACTGTCCAAAAACGTTAGAAAAGTGAATAAAAAGGCTGCATTTTTAAAGATTTTTATGTTGAGGTGTGAGAATAAGGATTTATTTCACTTTCTAAATTTGTCTGCCATATGCTTTTCAGAAAAATTTTACTGGTTTAAGTTGGAAAATTGACAAAGGGTGGTTTATTTGTATGAAGTTTCTCATCTATTCAGTACAGTAATACCTCAACTTATGCTACCCTGACTTACATGAACCCAAAGTTACGCGATTTTCAAATCTCATTGATTCGTCTTTTGTTTGAGTGCCATGCAACTCTTGATTACTCACTCCCCCCACACTATTGTTCAGCTTACATGTTCGGACGTGTCACGCCGAATCGACACAGCTACAATTTATTTTGTGTTATTTATTTCTGTGTTTGTTATATCTAGAGACTTGAGAGACTCTATGTGATGATTTCTTGTAACTGTGAACGAATCAAAAAAGACGAGATAAGATTAACGAGAACATTTATTAGCTTGCTTACATCTGACTTAGATTTTACACAAATTGCGAAATTATATCCCGACTTACGCGAATTCGACTTACGCTGTTATCGCTCGGTCCCACCTATCGCGTAAGTTTGGGGTATTACTGTACATCAGAACCACACAATTACTCAACAACAAAAGGGAGATAAAGATAAGATAAAGTATTAAACTTAAACAAATACTTTTTTACAATTAAGGGGAGTTTTTGTGGTATTTCTCAGAAAATAAAATATTTAGAAAAATTTTGATAAAACTCAATACAGTATATTTTGGGTTATTGACCCATGTTTAGGGAGTCAGAGTTAGCCTACTAAAATTATCTGGAGTTGGGAGTCGAGTGTTTTTTACCAATTCTGCAGCCTTGATTTAAAGAATGTGGCAGTTGCTGACTTAAGAAAGAAATTAAAAGAATTAGGGGCCAAGACATGCTCATTGTCAGTGGGGGTCTAAGGGGTTTGCAGACCCCCTCTTTTTGCTGCATATGGTTATAATACATCATAAAGTTGGGCTTTGATTGATGTTTATGCTGTTTAATGACAAAACAATATTTTTAAACTTGAATTTTGTGTTTATTGTATAAAATGTTGATTAATAATGTGATAAATGCTGATCCAGGCATAGGTTAGTGTTCCCAATACATACATATAATGTAATAATAAATTTTGTACAGTATTATGTAATTTGTAAGATAATGTATAAATGCAATATTTTCAAGCTATTTGATGAAAATTAAATTTTTAATAAATTTTAAAAAATTGCAACTACATCTCTGAGAGGATTCATTGACTTGTATTGTGCGAGTCCCAAACTTATCAAAGGTGCGATATTTTTATGGAAGAACTGGATAGTAAAAAACTCAGAAGGGTTCTAAGTATATTTACAAAGTTTGTATTTTATATTGATATTGACAAAGTTGTAAATATATTTGTGACATTGCAGTCAAGGAGAAGGCAATTAGATATACTGTAGGCAATCAAAGGTTTTCTTGAAAATGTGAAAACTTCATTTTGTAAATGCATAACATGTTTTTTATTTCACTAAACTCTCTCTAGTAACTATCTGATGATGCACCTGGTAAGACAACAAGA